AGCTCCTTCAAACGGGTCAGGGGTGCACCTGCTTGCACCTTGTATTGCAGCATTCACCAGTTTCCCATCCCCAGAATGCAACGCGAAAACAGGGGGTGTAACCTCATTTGCATAGGACAGGAAGGCATCGGAATGATCCTGGTGACGTTAACCTTGAGCATGAAATGACCCAAAACACACTGAAAAACAAGCTGTTTAACGTCACCAGGATCATTCCGATGCCTTCCTGTCCTATGCAAATGAGTTTAGACCCCCTGTTTTCGCGTTGCATTCTGGGGATGGGAAACTGGTGAATAGCAGCAGGGTACTGATGTCTGTAATAATACATACCCGTATTATATATGGACACATCTATATGTCCTTCGTTGCAAATGGGACGAGTTGACGAGACTGCCAAATTCAATTAGGCCATGGGGCGTACGTAGTGCTCATCAACTTGCAAACATGGACATTTTATATCATTGTACCCGTGACACTGTACACTGGCATATATATCACAGTTGTAGAACCTAATTTTCTCGCTAACAAGAACTATAGCTGTAACCTCCGGCAAGGACGTTGTAAGCAATCTGTTTGAAGTTAATTTGGAGAAGTAAACCCACGAGGATAGCGTTATATACTGCCAGGTTTCTTCATACACATCATACTATAAGGTTGCTTTATACATGTGACATTATATTTCAATTTCCTAGGATATACGAGTATCGTCAACCATAAGCTGACTTCATTGAGCATCGTTGCACACAGTCATATGGGAACCCTCCAAACTTTCTCCAGTTGTATCATGACTGGAACTGTTAAATAACAGCCCGTCCCAGTTGGGATCCACCAAACCTTTCTAAAAAACCCAGGATAGAAAATCCACGGCGGCAGTGACTTTATCACACAGAAACACACGCTATATAAAGTGGGGTGAACGGCAGAAGGCCTGGGGAAACAACTCGGGGGAATCCCGAGGAAACTGCCCGTTGTGACAATCTTTCATAACCGTTAGCTTCAAATCCTTTAAGTGCTGCTGCCGAGTCCCCGAGGCGACACTGATCTATATTCTACGTCCATTTGTAAATCCCGCTCTAGTTTGCCATCCCCAGGTGCAGATTGGCAGAGGATGTAGGTTGTGATAGGGTGAGTGACATGTCTGGCACCCGGCTGACAGGACAAAGGTGTCTCACCCAAGTCAAGCTGTTAGCCTGATGTTAGCCTGATAGGACACGTGCCCTTCGGCACGTTTCGCAAGAACTTGGTGGCTCGTCATGTCACAGAAGGGGGACTCTTTCACGCTGTAGTCGTATGGTTATATGTGAGCCCAGTTTTATACACACACGATCTACCATGGGCATGTCGGCCATATACATCAGGACACTTTAACCTTCGCTGAACAGGGACGGGGGCGATATCGACTTCAGACAACCTTTGACCCTTTGCTGACGTCACACGTGGGAAAAATCACGTGTCCACAGCATTTGGGTCAGATAGCCGAGGAAGACTGAGTGATTCAGTCGAAAATTCCGGTGAGTGAAATTTATGAGTTGGAGAACAGTTTAAATTTTTCTTAAAGCATCATGTGTTCTTCTGTCTCAACTCAAGTAATCCCATGTAGTAAATATAGCCGTACCACAAGGCACGGTCATCGCACCTGTACTGTAAATTATTACGCAAAGAAAAATAAATTGTGCAGCAAATTGTACAGTCGAAAAGTTGGGTAATTCCAATTTCTAATGTAACAGTTGGAAATTACAGCTGAAAGTTTCTTCATAGTAGTCACTGTACTTTGCTTGACAAAAAATGATCAACGATAAAAAGAAATGTGGCGTCGGGTGGTGTAGTGGTTAGAGCAATAGACTGTGAACCGGGAGACCCGGGTTCGATTCCGGGTCGTAACCGGGACATGTCTGAACATGCGCCCCGACGTTGTGCCCTTGGGAAAGGCACTTTACACGACTTTCCTCACTCCACCCAGGTGTGAATGGGTACCTAACTTCGGTTGGGGAAAGTCGTATTGAGGTCACCTTGTGGCGCCGAATGGCAGCCGCACAGACCCTTGCGACAGTTCCACAAAATAATTGTGGAACAAATTGTATTATGTATTATGTGTATCATTTGTATTATTTGAATGTTGTAATTGTTGTGATTTGTATTGATTATGTGATACCCTGCATCAATTCAGCCGTATAAAGGCTGCAACTGCACGGGTACTGTTTGGACAATAAAAACCATTATTATTATAAATTATCATTGAAATCTGTTGATAGCGATTAAAATGATCTCTTAAACGTTACAAGTTACACTCGTCTTCACAGCCGACAAAAGGAGTCGGTACATATCATTTTCCTAGTTTTTTACGCGTATCTCGCACTCTGTCAAACTCTTCCCACGAACGGATAAGAGAAATACAAGGGCACTGTTTGATGTACTGCACTACAGTTGATTATAGCCCACTTACACTTCATATTAAATGTACGGCGTTGAATTATGTGCGCATAAAGTGACACACGCGGTTGTAAAATACACGCTTAACTTCAAGTGTAAGCTACTTTAGTATGATTGAGGGGCGCACGCGAAGTGTAGGTGTATATTTGTCAGGATTTCCCGTAGCTTTACCACTCCGACTTTTGGCGCAGTTAGGACAACCTTTTCCACGAGCGGTCTAACCTTCACGCCGAGTCTAAACGTGCGACCTTTGTGCGTCAATTACATTCCGTGTAATTTAGCAACATCAAAAGCGTTCGACTTCGCACTAGATGAATCGTGACGGGAGGATCAGTTGGCCATTGAGTTGGGGGTACTTCAAAAGTACATCGACCAATGTTTGTGGAGATAGATGGATAATAAAAAGGGACGTCGTCCTTAGAAGTAGGTATCTTATTTGACAGGAGAAGAGAACTTTGGAAGATGTGACCTACGTACGGATTATACGCGGGAAGAATGAAAGCTCTTTGACTTTACTGTAGTTTATAGGATACCTTCCACGCATATTTATGAGAATTGACAGCTCATCGAAAATTACAGATTAAGCTATAGTAACTTGTTATAGAAAACTACATATTTATGCTTTGCCTTGACGAAAATAGTAAGGCCATGTTGATTTGATTACATGGATGACATCCGCGCGCGCATGAATTTTTCGGCCGTTTCAAAAAAAAAAAGTTTTCAACCACACTGTAAATCGTAAAAAAAAACAGTTGCAAAACGAGCAAATATATACCGTGTGTTGCAAAAATAGTATTGGGAAACGTCATGGAATGCCAAAATTGAAAAGACGAAAATGTAAAGAAATGATTTTGAAGAGGAGATGATTCGCCATACCATACTCTGTGTCATTTGTTCAACCCTCATGACCACGTAGATTTCATAATGAAAGCAAATTTTTTTGCCAAACTTTTTTATTCGCACGCTCGCATCAGTTGTGGGGTTTTCAGAGGATGTCATCCATATGATCAAATCAACATCGCCTAAGACGTGCACAAAAGTAATTCAGGTTTCTTAAATCTACCCCAAACCTCTGCTCAACCTCAGCCATAGTGTCTTATACAAGGTTTCTAGTCTATGCCCACAGTTATTTTCCTGTCCATACTTGACGGCCATTTATACGTTGTGAACAAAGGCCATTGTGAGAAACGATTTGATGCCATTGTGCTTATGATTGTAATCTTCTTACAGTAATGAGCTTGTCAAAATGTATCGTAAGTACAGTTAGTTAATTTTGCATGCTGACAGAGGTTAATAGGATGTGAGAATGTAACACGTTATTTTTATTTCATTTCTTCACATGGATTTTTGAGCATTAGATAGGAAGCACTTGTTGTGCTTATGTGAATCCGCTGCTCATAAAACATAATGCAAATGTAAACATAAAGATGACATAAAATATAACATAAAATGAAAGTGGCTGGCGCACCAATACCTATAGCGTTAATGTGATTGGTCAAATCTTCCAGAGTGATGAATATAGTTGAACATAATATCAAAGATACGGCAGTTAGTAGGGTATGGGAGGTAGGGGCTACCTGTAAGAAGTAAAGTGCATAATGTGGCGTCATTTGCGTTGAGTGGGTCGGAAGGGAGTATGTTTTCAAGTTGAAGGCAAGATATGGATAACAACATTCTGGTCCTTTCAGTATTGTAAAATGTAACACGTGATACCGTGCTTACACCATCATCAGGTCAGAAGCAAAGTATAGCCTGACCTGATGCCATTGCAGATCATCAAAACATATTGGTGCAGCCACAACATAAAATTTGAAATTAGAATGAACTAGAGAAGTAACATTTGCAAAGCAAATGCATAATGTTTACCTTCGGACATGGTCTACCCTGTTAATTTTTACTCAAACACATTCACATACACATACATGTACTACAAGTATATGGTGACAGGAGTAGAGCAGACCATGAAATTGCAACATTATGTAACCCAACACCAGTCTCCATGGTGGCAGACGTCAACAAATCATGTCATTGGCCAGGTCAGAGGTTATTGTTTGGAACAGAAGAGGAGGAGGAAGAAACTGAGTAAAAACAATATGTTTTCCTTCGGTAAACATAATGATAATTTTGTCGGTAACACTTCTTGCCATCACATGTATGCCTTGTTCTGGTTTCCCTGAAGAAATGTGTGAAACATGCAAGAAATAAAACTTTTAGTCTACCAATGTAGATTACTGGAATCAAATTTTTGAGCATTACACTGATAGAGTTTTTGTTTTGATTTAGGAGCATTCAAAAGTGCAACATGTAAAATTCAGCATTTCTCTGCAATAATTGTACAAATATGGTGGCATCTAAATGTTCTCAAAATAATCAAGAAGCAATGGTATAATTGTAACCCAGCTAGTTTATTTCTCACTCGTTTTTATTCATATATGCACACGAAAATAGATTTCCAATAACATGTGTATTACAAACGAGGGCTAAAGATATATGGTCTTTATTTGTGGCCTAGGAAAGATTGTAGCTAAACACTAACAACATTGTTGAAAAACAACAACAACAACAACAACAACAACAACAAAAGACAAAATACAGTTGGGTTCATTAGCAGGTTATTAACATTTGTCTCATAATAATACAAATCATTTTAAACTACTACATTACAAAATCCAAGAGAACTTGTAGTGATTTTACCATTTATCTACTGTTCAAACACTGCGTGTATTGCTTCAATTTTATACTACTGAGTCTAGTGAAGCTTTTATGGTGTATTGGTGATTACTTTGACTACACCCACACCGCTTAGTGATTTTACTTCTATTTGTTAGTTGTAGAAGGGTTCCATGCACAAGAAATGCACTTGAATGACCACCAACTGTTCTCATCCTAAGGGACTCTGGTAGTATTACGTTCTCTGTGACTTCATAGTTGTTGTCACTGTGTCACGGCTACATTTACAGCCATAGGATGCACGGAGGCAATGTCTTTTCCACTATTTGTTCCTGAAGTTATGCTTATGGCTAATTTCTTACATCAACATTTACATACTTCAGTTAAAAGGTTTACAAATCTATCCTCGTTGCAAATTCTTCATTTGCTTAATACATTATTGTGGAAAGTATACAGTTAGACCTATAATGTGAACGTTGTGCCGTAGAGTCTTCTTCTGTCACCATGCGTTACAAAGATACCGTCCACTGTACAACGTACCGCAGAATACAATCCTACATTAAAGACTTATCAGTAAGTATTTAATCTCGTGTACTTATGAGTCGACAGTGCTTGACGATTTACATTCGTTGCTCTTTATCACCGCAGTTGAACTTTTACTTCCACCGATTGTTCAGAATAACCCTCCCCCCTCATGGATACCTACACATTGTAGACAACTTGGAATTTGTTCAGTCGTCTTCGTAGTCAAGTAGAGTAACGCAATTGAATTATTGACTTGCCATTCTGCCTTTTGCTCTAAAGCTGTGGGATATCTGACCTGATCACCACTTCCAGTGGGTCCTCCGTATCAAGTTATGTCTCTGTTGACAGTTTGGACGACTTTGGGACGCGCCAGTTTGTAGAAAACGGCAGCTGGTGTTTGTTGATACAGAAATAAGTAGAAATGCTGGCTTAGATACTTGGCTAAACCATACACCTCATGGGGATGATAAGAACTGAAGTTGTCTCTGGGTCAACGGGCAAGTTGCACTTCAATGTCACCTTTGCTCGGTGGGCAACGTGGATGCTGCCTGCTGAAGCTTACCAGCTGATCCCTTTAGACCTGAAGATGAAGAGGTCCTGTGGAGTAGAGATAAGGTCCTGAATTTTCTATTCTAAGGTTCCAACCTTTCTATTCACCACACAAACGGTGTGCTTGTCTTGAAAACGATATGTTGAAGCTTGCAATCACCGGGGGTAGCTAGCGGTCTTCGAGTGACATTTCGGAGTATTTCTGTTGGGAGGTTCAATAATAAGATGCTATGCCGTACCGTTGTGTTTGCAGGCTTTGCTGAAATCAGTTTGCTTCAGGCAGTTTTTCAGCTGCGATGGAGAAAAAGCAAATGGGTCCGACCGACTTTTGTGTAGAGTCTCTGTTTCTTCAAGGCTTCTTGTACAGAGTTTGTGACAGTCGCAACTTAAAACGTTTGGGAATTCAAGATGCTTGGTGGCTCATTGTCCCAACAGGAGGTGCTATTCTTTCTGTATCATTACCAAAAGTTTGAGGTGGAATTTATATCTCTTTCTGTCTAACTCATCTTCAGCCCATTAATGGCATAGTCATGATCGATACTCGTTTAGTATTCCTTTCGTGTCTGTATTTGTCGGCAGAAGGAGTGGGCAAGGACGGCTGCACCCTGACCAGTAACTGAAGAACTGAAGAGTACGTAAGACACCCAAATGTAGACGGCGTTCAGTGATGATCTACTTCTTGTGTTCTGGGTGTCTGCATGTCGATTATGTACAGAACGTAGTTAGTACGTTGTGCCTGTCGCAGCCGGGTGGGTTACGTTGGTGCACCGGTGAGCCCCGGGTAGCATCTGGCACAAGCCAGTCCGCTTCATTAAGCCAGAGTCATTAATTTCCCCTCCTTGCTGTATATTCTATCTCGGTGTACAGAGGCGTATCAAGAGTCCGTTTCGTTGATCATAAGTGCACGAGATACGTTGTCCAGTAGAGCACGTTGAAAGCCAGAAATGCCATCGGGAAAGCTGCCCGGGAGACGGTGTCAATCTTCTTGGCTCTGTCTATGTATTTGGTTCTTATTTTCTCCTGGGCAGCATTTTGTCCGTCGCCTGGCTTCTTGACCCCATCCTTGTTCAGCTGAGGCCCCATGCCGTACGCAGCAAAGTTAAAAGTCCGGCCGTCTTTCTCGTCGTGGTCCTGTGACTGTATGGGGCACAATAGATATTTTAGAACATGCTCTCCTGTGGTTAAAGTCGTTACGTATTCTACACACTACACGTTAGAGAATATTTAAACCTTTATCGTTGCCGCTGACATATATTCTGTACGTAATTTGCCGCATACGTATATTCTGTACGTAGGATGACGTTATTCATACATGAACATGTATTTAGCTTTCAATTGTTACATTCTCTAGTTGTAGAAGACCATACAAAAGTCCCTGTACTTTTTGTTGAGGTAATAAAGAATCTATACACGTAAAAGTCAAAGGGTCTATGTCGAACAGAGAATGTTAGTGGGTAAGAACCTCGGGTCCGCAATAATGGAAGCAGGCAAATATGACACGATACGTCTAGCAACGTTGGTAAAGCCTCAGGTTCCAAGTAAGAACTAGTGTCGCCAAGCATATAGCAAAAGACATAAATGTGACAAAATACATTCCTGTTCAAGCTCAACAATATGATAATGATAAATGAAGGTGACATTTTGGTGACGAGTATGTCATGAACATGGACAGAAGTTCCTAAAATACAGAACCTGTCATAAATTGCATATAGAAAGAGGTAGATATTATAACGTAGCCCTGACCATAGGTTTTGTCCATTTTGTCCAAAGCATATTGAAGATAAATTTCACTTCGTTATGGAATGCACTAAATATGATGTTTCACGTAATAAGCTATTTACCTCAACTACAACATATTTCAAGAGTCTTGATGCTAGATTTGCAGTGATTCCCACAATGTAAAAATAGGTAAATGTATGAAAGACTGTCATAAGAAAAAATGCCGAAAGTCACCACTCGATTGTATTACGATATCAAGGACAGACTTGTGCTAGCCCTTGTTGTTTGAGTAATTAGGATTTATTAGGTTTTATTCTGTACTTTTTTGTACTTAGTTCAATTGGTTTGCCATACATTGTACTATGAGAAATTGTCAATGCAATGAAGTTCTTCTATAACAGCTTTATGTGGCTCGGTAAGGGTTTTTGGTGCTCCTTTGCCTGATGTATTCGTTCGACTTTATGTGGCTCCGTAAGGGTTTTTGGTGCTCCTTTGATGTATTCGTTCGACGTTATGTGGCTCCGTAAGGGTTTTTGGTGCTCCTTTGCCTGATGCATTCGTTCGACTTTATGTGGCTCGGTAAGGGTTTTTGGTGCTCCTTTGCCTGGTGTATTAGTTTGACTCTATGTGGCTCGGTAAGGGTTTTTGGTGCTCCTTCGCCTGATGTATTCGTTCGATGACCTCTGCCCCATAGGGTGTCCTGATGTGACCTGCGCAAGGTCTAATAACGGCCTCCACTTATCACGTGCAGCCGGCTTCATTTATTACAGACACTGCTGTAATGATCACAATCAACATAAGCAACCAGGCATATGCGTGTGGTGGGAGATGGAAATGAGCTGGACCGATATGTGATCGGTTGCTCACGATTAGGCACACAATAGGATAAACACGGTAAAATTTTTCTACAACTTTGGGTCTACACTACCAAAAATGCTTCTTCTTGTTTTTCTTGTGCAAAAACATTTTTTTCTATCAGCAAGCATATAATTCTTTGAACAAGAACCCCCGTGGCAAGAAAATTCGAGAAACCCACATTGTTCTTATTCTAAGAATGTTTTTTTCTTACAGCTAATGAACCAATACCAAGAATATTATTCTTATGATAAGAAGTGCAGGTTCTTACACAAAGAATATCTAGCTTTCTTTAAAAGCATCTGGCCACAAGAAAAGATTTCTTGAACTAATTATAAGAGATAACTTTTTTTGTAGCAAGAAAATATTCTGCCTACAAGAAAAGATTTCTTGAACTAAGAACTAACTGTTCTTGTAGCAAGAAAATCATTCTGTACATAGGAAAATATTTCTTGAACTAAGACCTGTTTTGTAGGCTGTGTTGTGTTTATGAAGATGCCAGCTCTTGCCAGTCACGCACTATGATAGCCATATCCATCGCCAGTAATACATTGTTTGGTTTACAAAGCATATGACAGAAATGTTCCCGAAATTTCAATGTATTTGTTGCATCTCCATGCTTGAAGTAATTTGACTTGTGCACGTGTGTAGTTCATGAAATGCACCATAACAATCCTAGCCATCAGATAAAGGGCCATATAAAATATTCTATTGAATGGACAATATAACGTACAACAATATCTGTAGAATGGCTTGCTTCCAAGCTAAGCCTTGTTTAATGTATGACGGAATGTATGTCTTCCCCATGACATGCCCTATTCTGTATCTGTATCTGTAGAGCCGGTATAACCGCCCTTCGTCGTAACACACCAGCTTCGCTGGCACGCGGCACGGCGGCAGCTCTCTACATTACACCGATCGACTTGTTACACCTAACCCTTGAACATCTAACTCTAGACATTGTTTAAAGCTATCTAATGATAATGTCCCTACTGTACTTGGTGACAGCGAGTTCCACTCTGCGATAATTCTAGGAAAGAATGAATTCTTGAACACCTCAATCCTTGGTTGATAATTCTGGTACTCGAAGGCATCTTGTTCTCTTCTGGGCTGGTATTAGGTACTTAGTAGTTGGTACGTCCAATCCAGTTTATTAGTCATTTTGTACATCATGCACAGTCTGGACAACCAGACTATTGTCTAGTTGGCGTGACAGTGACGGTATCACAATTTCCCGTTGCGTGACCTGAACTGGTAGGTTAAATATCATCTTAACCACGGCCATACTGCAGGTCCCTTATGTCAGGCCTGCAAATCTTCACTCTAATCCGGGCCATTGTATGATACGTCACATTCTCGTTAGTAAGATCGCTATCGATGAAAAGTTACTCAGACTATTGTGCGCTTGTCAGAAGCTTGTGGCCTTTGTGTCTCTGGTGACATGAAAGCTGGAGCCTGGATTATAAGTCGCCATTTTGTCTGGTCCAGTACTTAAAGAGGAGACTCTGCAGATTTATCAACATTTGGAGAGTGGATATCAGCTGCATGTTTGTCTGCTTACCATTCATCCAAATCTTATTTGGTGGAATATCATGAAGTTTCTCGGTATCTTTTTATCCATGACTTAAAGTGATCCGAACTAAGACTTTACCATCTTGCCAGCTATTTCTTTTCTTGTCACAAGAATTTTACCGTACCATAAAACGAGATCGCGAGGCCACTCCAAACTTTTACTGTACAAATTTTACGGTCGGGTGAAGAGATTCTTGCCATTCAACACAAACCAGATCATAAAAACCCGGAACTGGTTACAACTTGAAGTAGTTTTCCGGCCACAGGGTCGATATCTAATTCACTTGCTTCTAAAAGGAAGCGCTATTTACAACTTTGGTGAAATGGTTTGTCCTGAAGTGAGGAGACAAGTTATGGTCTTTTACGTCACCTCAACAAAGTTCAGGATGAGTAGGAATACTGTACTTGTCAAACGTATAAACGATTCCTGTTTTGATAGTTTTTGGTAGTTTTGTTAATCGTATCTAGATGAACATATACTTATCTTTTTATGATTAGAAATATGAATAGCAACACGTTTGGTCGCTACAAAGCTGCAGTGAGGACTGAACAAAGTTCACCTCAACAAAGTTCAGGATGAGTAGGAATACTGTACTTGTCAAACGTATAAACGATTCCTGTTTTGATAATTTTTGGTAGTTTTGTTAATTGTATCTAGATGAACATATACTTATCTTTTTATGCTTAGAAATATGAATAGCAACACTTTTGATCGCTACAAAGCTAAAGTGAGGACTGAGGGGCACATTGTTGAAAAATGTGCCTGATGTTTCTGAGGTAGTGGAACTCTCCTTAACCCTATCTGGACTGGGTGGGGGTGGGGTAAAAGTGCCCGGGCCAATTTTGATGTCAGATAGGGTCTGAACGCCTTGCGCTAGAACCACCAAACTTGGTGACTTTTCCTAAATTATAGTTGGCAACAATATCGTATGAGTGTAGCAAGTTAATGAATTTTGTGTTGCCATGAAACCAGGCGAACGTTACCAGCAGTCTGAAAATCAGGACTCGACAACAACTGAGATTCGACTAACTAACCAACCACTACATCAAAGTATTCGGCGTTACTATGTTGACTCAAGCTCTCTTTTAAATGTATGTTTTATTTCTAATCCACAGTTGGAAATGAAATACGGCACTAATTAAATCTTGAGCAGTTGATGAATGGACCTACCGCACTCAGAAGTTCTCTATAAACGGATTTTTAATTGGTATCTGCTCAGAAGCAGACTTAGCACTCAACTTTAATTCTTGCAATTCGTCATGTCATTATCTTTACACAGTGGATGAATTTCAATATAATTTTGGGTCCTTGGTTGAAATAGGAAAAGTTTATTGCTTGCTGTGAGCAATCTCTTGGCGTTTTTGCGAAGTAGTAAAGAATTGAAAAAGCTGAAAGTAGCGTACTTGAGATGCTCTACGGGGAGGTCACTTGCATATGTGAATAAGGACTTTAGCGCGTGCACAAATTTTTTGCCTGATTTTAGAGAAAAAAAAACAAAAAATTTTGTTACCCTCTGACAGTGGTTCACATGCCGAAAATGGGCAAAGATGTCTGTTGCCATGCCGGAACGTGGATGGCAGATAACTATGAAGAGAGGAGACAACACATGGCTCTGATTTATTGTTTTGTCTTTTACTTTGATCCGTGTATTTAATTCCTTTTATATGTAATAAAATCAAAACCATTCAAAACATTTATTTTCAAAGCTGTTTCAGTGACAAATGGATGTGGTAATAGTTGACAGTAAAAACTAAACTTTGTGGCCTTTGCGTCTGGTATAATTTTTAAACAAGGTTTATGATATCAAAATTACAAAATGTAGGAATCTTGTTTTTTTGGCCCGCCTTGTTTTTATTATCCCTGTCGCATTAGATTTGGAGTCTGCGGAGGATGTCCATAAAGTCCATAAAATATACTTGTTGTGGCCTAAATTGGCATACATTCTGCCAGCGAGGTAAATTTTTCTGGCTTCCTAGTTAGTATTTGTTTA